AAAATGGTCAGAACATGTCGTCGGCCTTCGATAGGTCCAAATGCATGTGCAATCATACCATCGGGGGTCACAAGGGTTTGATATTTCATGGCGTGGCGTCGCTTGTGTCCATTAAACACAGTTCGTTGTCTTTCATTTCCATCCGGCCGACAGCATTCGCGCACGGTCCCATCCATGAATGCCCAGACGTTCTCGACTTCTGCACCCTTGGCCACAACGGCTTGGCTGAACTCCATGAATTTGGTACAAATGCAGTCGCGGTCGAGATATACGATTTCGGCAAAGTTGGAGTAAATGTGGTCCAATATGTGCAAGAAGATGTTGCAGAGGCCACTTCTGGAACGACCGAACATCGTGATGTGGTCTGACCAGCGATCAGGAACTGCAAAACGGCGCAAGAGAATGCAGATAGCCTCGAGTCCGTGCATGCAGTTCGCTCTGGTGTGACAACACGAGGTGGGATCCGTAGGTAGTTGACGAGGGCAACCAACGTGGATTTGGAGAATCGGAACTTGGATAAGCAATCGTTGTCGGTGAATGAGTCCAAAGTGAAGGCGACATTAGGAATGGTTAGCTGAGTACTGGTGGCTCTGCGGCGCAAGAGGGCGAGCTTTAGTCGCAGAGGTACTCGGCTACAATGGATCAATCGATGCTCAGGATGCATTTTGAACTTCGTCAAGCATTCCATTGACCATACCTAAACATATGACTCACTGCAGCCTTTCTAAACGTGAATTCGCCAGACTTTGGACTTCAGACTTCAAGAAAATCGAAGGTAGAAGAAAGTCTGTGAACTATTTAGATTTCAGACTTGCTAAACGTCTCTATTCTAGAGTTGTCCGCCATGAACATCCGAATAACGCACTTGAGTATCCGAATTTATTGCAGACGGATACCGGTACTTGATCCGGATGTATTCTGCTTGGAAAAATATCTTCGTTGGGGGCGTGGACATCATGCAAGACTTGCTGGCGGACGAAGAAAACCAGAGCCGACGGACGTTCTGCCAGATGCCGTTCAGCTCGATCTACGAGAACGCGGAGAAGGGACAGACGTCAGTCTCCAACCTGCTCGCGTTTATCAAGAAGAAAAACACCGCCGAACGAAAGTGTGCGGATGCTGTTCTGTCGAGTCTCAGCGACGTTGGTGAGTTGCGCGAGTTTGAAGAACCAGGAACATCCATAAAAGGGGTGCTCGATCAATGGCATATGTATTTGCACACACTCAACACCCAGCAACTCACGTGGACACAAGTCGTCGACGAGCATGTTGCACGACCTCTCGAATCCCTCAAAGATGCGTCTACGACGTACATGCAAACGCTGCAAGCAGAGCTCGCGCGGGTCAACGACGAATACTCTGCTGCGGAAGAGCAACAGTGCAAGGTACACTGATCATCACGTCTAACGTGTTCCCCTCGAGCTTGACCTCTCGTTCCTACCTTAACGCCAGCATGCCAGGCAAAGGTAGTCGTTGATTGTGCACGACGGGACCTTGAAGAAGCGATTAGTCGCCAGGACGACGCGCTACATGTAAATTACATTCACCTCATCAATCCTGGTACATGATTATCCTTAGGAAATTGGAGTCCCGTCCTTCGAGCTCCAACGACTGGCATTCCGCGTCAAGTCCGCCGAACTCGAGCTCTCCCGGGCGTTAGCCGAGAGGGAACAGACCAAGCAACATTTGCTCAAGACGATAATTGCACGGGATGAAATGACTATGGCCGTTAGTGTGGCCTACCAGCGCGCGGAAGAGGAACGGATGGACCAGCTCGGGTCGTGCTTGAAGCTGTGGATGCATGTCGAGAAGGAACATATCAAGTTCAGAGAGAAACAACTCCAGCAGCTGGAAGAACACGTCGTGCGCATGGACCGCGCGGGAGACCTCCAGCTCCTCATTCATGTACGTGTGGTCGATGCGGGGGCTTAGCAGAAATGGACGAGTAGAACCATCGGCACCCGGACAACTTGCACTTTCAGGGAAAAGCGCTGTCATTACTCGATTGGCAGTGGCAAAATCAAAACCAACAGTCGCCTCCTGGGTCCCTCAACAGCCTTCAAGTGCCTTCTGCGGACAAATGGCAGGTGTCGCATGCCGACGCGAACGCCGACGAGAACGCCCCATCCTGCCATGACAAGTCCTTGCAGCATCTCGAAGCTGTCCTGTCTTCTCATTTCGACGACCACATTGATTTGGACGATGCCAGCAATCCAGCCACGCGCGAATTCGTTGCGGCCAGTTGCAATTCGTCCGAGTCGCGACAACTCTTTGTGCAAACGCTAAATCGACAACGCAGCATCGCGACGAAAGTGTCGAGCCCGATCAAGTTTCGGCGGCTGGTGCAGTGTTTTCTTGCGTTTTTCGACGCGTGTGTGCTTCACGATGATACGAAGGCAGCCAAGACTGCCATGATGCTGTCGGCGACGTTTTACACAATCCCCCCACACGACCGCACCAATCTCGACGACGCGCCAAGCGCTGATCCACGGCACATTCGACGATATGTCCAGGAAGATGTGAAGGTTCATGTGATCTGGAGCAACCCCAATGTATGGTTGTGATTGTCTGGTGAGGTTTCTCACGAAAGGTTGGGCGTAGTTTTGGGAGAAAGCATTAATGCTGGCAATTGGCGAGGAGCTGCACAAGACCCCGCGGCGATGCCCGTGGGAGGATCTACCAACAAATGTCCCGCGCAGCGATGGTACTCTTGCACAGCAAGCAGCATGACTTATATGGCGACTAGGTGTACTCAGCCGCGAAGAAGCCGTGAGTTTGGTCCACAACATCGTGGTACGCGTCATTGAAGCGCGTGGTCTCCAGGGCTCATGCTTGTGCATGATAGTTTGGGCAATTGGGGTCGTTTACGCTCAGCATGCTCGAGTTTGACGTCCCGATCACACAAATCCGGCATTTCGTTGAAACCATGTGCGACGCCCATGAGCTCACGGAGGAGCAGCGGTTCCTACTGCGGGCCAACTTGCGGGAAATAGCCATCAAACTCGGCTACACGACGCATCCACCACAATCAAATTGACTGTTTTACTGTTGACATTGTGCTGGCTGGAACGAGACTGGCATGGTCGGACCTGTGCGTGTATCTGGGCATTGACGTCTCAACCCAGGAGCTCCGTCAGTAACACCTGTGGAGACAGACCTGCCGACCCTTGAAAAGACTGTGAAGAAACTCTACTTGTGCTATAAACGCCCTACTTTATACGTTGTGTGCGTCTGGTGTGCAGGTGCATTATGACAGAGTGAAATTTACTCGAGAGAAGGTGGCCAAATGACCAAATATCAGCGACTCGTGTTGGTGTGGAGGTCAGCGATGAGATACGTTGCGATGGCTTTCACCCGGACAGCGATCGCTCGATCTGGATCTCGACAACCTCGGGTGACGATCGATGCCAAGAATGGATGGCTATGAATAAACGAGCAGAGCAATGGTAGGTAAGCAAGGGCACCCTCGTTGGTGCGGTGGGTGGTTGCGCGGCGCATGGCCAACTCGAACGCGTGCTCGAGTTCGAATCTGTAGAGGGCGTTCGACTGCAGCAGCCATGCCAGAGCTTGGACACTGTTTTGGTCCACTGCAGCGTGAGCTGCAGCAGCGATATACCGCAGGCCCAATTGATCGCGAGTGCACCAGTCGCCTTTACAGAGGAGGGCTAGGTTCGCAAGCGGACTTGCGTGGCAATACGCCATTACATCCAAGTGGCAGTGTGTCGTGGCCACCACAAATGCCCTCCCGATCGCATGGGGACTCCATTCGAGTTCGAGCGACGGAGATGTCAAGATCAGCTGAACGATATTCACGTAACCTTCGCGAGAAGCGTCGATGAGTGCTTCTTCCGCTTGCGAAGGATGCTGACGAAGCAACACTTGGGCGACATTGTACTCGCCAAAGAATGTCGCAAACTGAAGTGGCGTGAGAACCTTGGGCTGGCTAAGGGACGCAGTTGATTTGATCTTTAAGAGGAGCGGCGGCGACGATGCTGGAAGAATGAAGCGTCGAAGCGCGTCCGACCGTTCGACGTCGGCCTTCATGAGTCGGTCGTGGCGGCTCTCGAGAACCTCGAGAACAATATCATCCAGGTCCAAATCAGGGTTATCGACAACTCCTATGAATCATCATACGGCAGAGTCCACGAGCGTTAGATGACGTACGGTTGGCGTACAGCGTTCGTGCGACTTGGGTGTCGTCAGGTGAGAGATCCCTGGACCGAGGTATTGACGCGGCGACCGCGGACGGAGCAGCCTTAACCTTCCTCGCACACAACGACTCCCATGTTTCGCCCAGAAGTATTCCGTTGCGCACCATGCCCTCTGTTAACAGAGATAAGTATTCATCCATTCGGTCCATGAAGAATGACGAGTTTGATGCAGTATCGCAAGTGAAGGGTCATCAGTGGAAATTATCCGGATATGGCGAATATTTTCGAAAGTATAGTCCAATTTATTGCAAATTCAGTTGCAGCAAAAAGATCGCTTGGTGTATTATTAAATAGAGGGCGGAATTGGCCTAGTTCCACCGTTTGCGAGGAAGGCCGGACGATGACGTCGTGAGGACCCTCGCGGCCGCTGTCATGGATGAACCAAGCGAAGATCGTCGGACGCGCATGGGAGCTGACCTGAAAGGACGGTGAGACGACTGCCGAGCCCTTTGATGGAGAAGAATACTTCGATGACGAGGTGCGTTCGCGTAGTGGGAATCGAGTGGCACCGTCGGCAGATTGCTGGAGTCGACATTGTGTAGACGGGTAGTCTGTTTGAAAAGTCACCTGTTTGGTGCTGTTCTCGTCCGTGACATCGTCGTACTTCGGTCGCTTCAAAATGCTGTAGGCGAGGTGAGATACTGTCATAAATTTTATCTCGGATCGTATACCTTTGAAACTGTGCAGGAGGGACGTGCTTTCGCTTGGCTGCATACGCTTCTGTCGTACGGGTCAATGCGCTACTACCGATGCTGAATCGTCGAGGTTGTCGTGCTGATGGTGGAGCTGTGGGTGGGACATTAAGCTGCTCCTGATGGACCAACTCGTCGACAACTTTGATCTTTCGTGGGGTTTCTTCGGAGGGAGAGGCGTCGTCATTACTGCGCTTGTCATTTTTAGCGATTCGTTCCCGCAGTTGTGCCATTGTTTTGTTTTGCAGGGCCACCTAAACCCACAACCGGCAAGGTGAGGATGTCGCTGCTGGGTGGTGTACACACACCGTCTGTCGTAGCGTCACGAGCTCAAGGTGTTCTTTTTCCCACACGCTTGAGATTCGATTCACTTGGGATTGGAGGAGTTTTTTGCTGCGGCTTTCGCGTTGTGCGGTCTGGAGTGCCTCGTTATGTCCAGTCACCTGATTATCGATGAGCCGGACTAAGACCTTGCCAAGGACGTCGAAGTCTTCAGCCCACATGGCCAAAGATGTCGTTAGGTCGTTCTTGAAACCAAACACCGACTGTCGAAGTCCATGCAAGCCTTCCTTCCATCCTGCGGTGGCGCCGTCCATTTCGTCGTGACGCCAAGATTCAAATCCACGTCCATTTCAAATTCTCAAATTTTAACCGGATGTTCGGATAAAACACATCCAATCAAAACGAGTTTCAGTTTTGTACTTTGCTTGTGTATGTGGTGCCCCAACAATCGATACCACGAAACACGATTGAGAATTCCCTAAAATGGATGGAAATTTTTATGATTTTCACAAATTGAATGAATTTTCGAATGGAATTGATACCACTCTTGTGCGCTGGCGGCATGACGGGAAGGACGCGGAGCCATTCCGGCCCGAAACATTTCGACTTCCACGATGGCCAACGCACTGCTCACCCGCGAGCACGCTATCCACCTAGATGCATTGGACTCACTTGGGTCGCTACGCGACCAGTTCCAACTGCCTGAAGGCAACATCATCTACCTTGACGGAAACTCGTTGGGATTCCTTCCACGGGCCACAGCTCCTCGCTTGGATCAAGTCGTGACACAAGAGTGGGGTCAAGGGCTCATCCGGAGTTGGAACAATGCGGGTTGGATCGGTCTCTCACGTCGAATTGGCGACAAAATTGGCTCCGTTCTTCTTGGTGCTGGCCCAGGCGAATGTGTCGTGACCGACTCGTTGTCTATCAATCTGTACAAAGTGCTCATGGCTGCTGTTGACCTTGCCATCGAGAAAGATCCGTCGCGCACCGTCGTCCTCACTGACCGCGACAACTTTCCCTCGGACCTGTACATTGCGCAGTCCGTCGTGTCGACTCGACATGGAATGCAAGTCCTCACCGTCACCCCCGACGCCCTGTTGACTACACCTTCGCATCTGTCATCTTCTGTCGCGGTTCTGCTTCTCACTCCCGTGGACTACCGCACAGGCCGACTCCTGGATATGCCGTCCCTGACTGCCGCTGCCCACGCCGCTGGAATCCTCGTCATTTGGGATCTCGCCCACAGTGCCGGCGCTCATCCCGTGGATGTCCATGCCATGGATGCCGATTTTGTCGTCGGGTGCGGTTACAAGTACTTGAATGGCGGCCCCGGGGCTCCTGCATTCGTTTGGGTTCACCCGCGTCTTGTACATCGGTGCACTCAACCCTTGTCGGGATGGCTGGGGCATCAAAACCCATTTGCGTTTGCTCCCGAGTACACGCCAGCCGACGGCATCCAAAGGTTTGTCTCAGGGACGCCGTCCATCTTGGCGCTGACAGCGTTAGAGTGCGGCATCGACACCCTGGCGGCGGCAACGCCTCTGGGGGGCATGGTGGCCCTGCGAGAAAAGTCGCTGCACCTCACGTCGTTTTTCCTGGAACTAGTCGATGCATGGATCATCGGACACGAAGGAATGGAGACAATTACTGTCGCGACGCCGCGCGATCCCCAACATCGAGGATCCCAAGTCAGTCTGCGCCACCCAACCGATGCGTATGCAATTGTTCAAGCGCTGATTGCTCGGGGTGTCATCGGCGACTTCCGAGCACCGGACATCATGCGCTTTGGCTTCACGCCGCTGTACACGCGGTTCGTCGATGTTTTCGACGCAACCGCTGCCCTCGTTGACGTATTGCGCACAGAGGCGTACAAAGACCCTGCGTTCCAAACTCGCCACACTGTCACCTAGTTGAATCCGTTTGCCAACCAAAGTACATGTTCCATGTGTAGTCGGAGACGTGTCTACCCATTGTGCAGCTTCATGCGATCGCAACGGTTGTGTTTGTTTGCACATAAGGTGATATCTGCCAGCCCTGACTGCACCGATCCCGCTGTCCGCGGTTGACGATACAGCGATACCATGTTTGGGCCTCAACGTCGGCTCTGCCCACTCGCCGCCTCGATCTCAATCAACTTCATGATGATTTATCCGGATTTTTGATACTCCGGATACCTTCCACAATCCGTCATGGAATTGGAAGTGGCAGCACTTGAGCGGCGCGTGGCTGCGTTGCAGGCTCGGCTAGGGTTCGTCGCATCAGATGATCGAAATGTTCCCATGCAGACCCGACTGCAAGCTCTATCGGAGAACCTGTCACGCCTTGAGAGCAGTGTCGATCCGCCTCATGTCCCAAGCCTACATGCTGCGTGTAAGTCTCTAGGCCAAGTCCAAGGTGCCTCTCATCGCTCCCGTAGATCAAAGGCAAGAAAAACTGCTCCAACCCGAGTTTCTTGAAGCATTGAGCGAACATGGTCGTGGTGCATCACAGCAATGGAAGAAAGCGATAGTGCTGTCGTCCGAGGAGTCGGTGGCGAAGTTGGCAGTCCAAGCCAAACGCCTCCAAGAATTGGACGCCTCCGTCCTCAACTCGACATTTCCAAGTCTCTCGCAAGAAGCTCAATCGGCTCTCAACCGTGTCGAGACGCAGAACCTCCTCGTGACACGCCAGGTCATCGTGCAGCATCAAGCGGTTGAGTCGCTCCTGACGCAGTACGCATCAATTGTCCATGGCATGTCTAAGAAATTTCAGCTGTACGACGCCTATGTTCGCCAACTTGAGGAGAAGGCGGCAGTGGCACACACTTAACCTAATGGAAGAAATCGCTCCATTCGTCATCGCATCATAGTCCGGTTCCACATTGTGTCGACAAGTCAGTCAGAGCGTACGCACGCTCGTCGCCGCCTGCCGCTCTCCAAATATCGCTATTTACTGGCACCATAGCTTCCTTTATAACATCGAAGAGCAAAACAGCCAGAGGAAGCGGCCCAACAGAGCCATCTACATTTGTGCAGCGTCTTCGTAAATCCGGGAGATGGAGGTCACGTCGCACGGCAATCGTGTCACTGGACACTCGCCGTGCTCGAGGACGTAGCTGTGGATACAGGGGTAGCAAAATACAAAGCCAGACACACAACTGGCGGGGTTGGTGCGTTGGCGATGGCAAAGTCCGCATCGGTGGGTCTGCGAAGCCGTCGTCAGCTACTAGCAGCTCTAGTCGTCGTCGTACCTCGGACGATAGTGAGATCGCGCTATGGGTCAGCGCAGGCTGCGCAGGAGGTGGCGGAGGTAGCAACATCGCTCCATTTTTTCCTTTCCCCAAGAACACGGGTCCGCCATTCCCAGCGGGTTGCCCTTGACGGTTCATGTCGGACTGAAGCCACTCCAAAAATTTGAAGCCCACGATGGCGAGAACGACAATCGTTTGAGAATAGTCGATCACAGTCCATGTGGCCTGGTAGACCCATCGCCGAAGAGTGTTCCACGACAAAGACGACGACGTGTTGCTCAGGGCCGCGAGAATGCCTGAGCGATGGCGCATCCGCGATCGCTCAAACGTGGACTAGGCCAGAACGGTTGAGGTACATCATCGGTCAAGGACGCGTACAATGTCGTTTGGGGTAATTCTGGTAAACACAACCTTCATGGCTCGCAAGAACGGGGAAAAATGCTTGGTGTGACCAAACAAGTACATCCACTGGGCAAGTTGTCAGAGATGCAACTTCTTTAGAGGACGACGAACCTGGTATATGAGAAAGATCCCTTCGTAGCTGAAATGCACTGCAGGATAAACGTCCACGAACAACGATCGAAGCTCCGTCCAGATGCGCAGGTGCCGCCAATGCCGCCAAAATCGTGTAAAGCGGGATGGACACACTGGATGGACCGCGTCATCGTCGTCGCTGAGAAGTGGTCTTGTGGATGGTTGAGACGAGTTCAATAAACTTTGGTAGTACGCATCTGCTTTGGCTTTCAAGTAGGGCACACCGACATGCCAGAGCAAACTTCGTCGGCGGCCGATTTCCGTCAGTGGGTACAGTTGTGCGGGGGTGTTGTTGACGGCATCTGTCAGTTCCATGCGCTTGATGCCGTAGAATCGTTCGACAAGCAAGCAATCGTAGTGGGCCAAGCAGTACCGTTCGATCCCGAGACGCGCCAGTGCGTAAGTCTCGTGAAAGTGGCGCACCGGCAACGTCGAAGCAACATGTGGGTATGCGTCACAGATCGCAGTGACTAGGTACTGGGCAGCGGGTTTGAAGCCACTAGCCATACGCTCCTGCATGATCAACTCAAAAGTCGAAGGGAAAGCATCGTCCGTGCCCAGACTCTCATTCGCCAAGAATAGCGCCGCCATGGGTCAGCGCTTTTGCGACCGCAACCTCGTTTGATTTGAACCTTGCGTCGACGCAACAACTCGGTTCTAACAAATTGCAACGTTATATAACGTTATATGTTATACATATTTTATTACATTTCATCGACCTCCTTCGATATTGTGACACTGGCGGCAATCTCCTGCCGCCTTCCTGTCCCTAACGGCGAGGAGAGCTGCTCAGCGTGGCGAGCCTTTCGTCCTGCATTGCATGGGCGGTGGCCATCACTGCTGGAAAATGATGCATGGAGGATATTTTGCATTAGAGCTTACGTGACTCTAGCTGATCGAATGCAACGTGCATGACCTCGATGGCATGTTCACCTTGGGGAGAGACCAAGCCATCGCATTAATGGCGGCCGTTGAACTGCTCATGCAATTCCTTTACGTCCACGTCTTGGACCTTTCGGTATCCGTCCGGTTTGAACAGGTAGACGCGGCAGAGCCCACCAGAATACGAGTCTCGGTACGTGGCTTGGTAGATCGCACTCAGTCCCAACTTGATGGCTTCGTCGTCTTCGAGGTCCCAGCGGTAGTGCGTATCCAACACACCGTACGCGTAGGTGCTGCCGGACCCGACCGAGAACTTTGGCTTGTCCTTGCTGGCGCGCATGCGGGAGCCCTCGTCGTCGACGTAATACAAGGTCGGCTCGCCGTTATCGTACCCCATCATCATCATGCCCAACGACAGACCGTATGCCTTGTAGTAGTTGCACGTATTGGCAATCAATTTGCTCGCCGCTCGGATCGAGATGCGGTGGCGGTTGCGAAGCTCATACATACGGCACTGAACGGCCAAGTTTCGTTGCCAGTATTGACAGTCGGCCGCACCACCGGCAATCGTAGCCAACATGTACGGCGTGATTTCGTTGATCTTGTCCACGGATTGTGATGCAATGTACGGTCCTTGCGTCGAGCGCGAGTCCACGGCAGCCAAAATACCGCCCTTAAAGCAAAACGCCAATGTTGTCGTCCCTTTGTCGAATTTCAGTGTCTGGTCGTTGTCTTCGTGGTACGCGATTTTCAAGTTGGTTCGGCAATACAGCGCTGGATCTGCGACGGGAGGAAGAAGGAAGCTGCTGGGAGATGCAAACTGGTCCACCGAGTTGCCCTCTAGGTTGTCTCCATCGAGCATCATCAAATCATTGCGGTTCTTCTTTAAGAACGGGAGGGCGACCGTCGCGTGCGCCATATCTTTTGCTGTCGTCGGAGGATTCCTTCGCTCTTGTGTTCACCGCAGAATGTCAAGGGGGTCATGTACGATGGTACGTACAATACAGCACCGTACAAAGTGTACCAAAGTACATGAATGGATAGTACAGTCTTCGAAATCTCTACAATATCAATAAATATATTATCATAATATCTATCGCTGCAAACTGTCAACCGTTCGATGCAGACGTACTAGAAGATCCAAGTTGGGACCGCGCATGGATGTACAAAACCCCACACTCGAGCTCGCCAATGCCGTGAAATGCCGTCTGCGCTGTCGTCCGTGGTCAAAGAGTCATCGCTGTCTCAAAGTGACCAAACTTTGGATCTGCCCTCTCAAAGTTGTTAAGCAGTTGACGCCGTCCCGGTGTACGACCATCCATGGACACCTCATTCTTCGATTCGACCCCTGTAGTCCCACATCCACTCAATATGCGCGCCCTGGTCAACTCGCCTACAACAACGCCAACGTGGCAACGTTTTGGGGGGTTGCCTCGATCCAAGCCTAACTGACATGCAGCCTCGCTCGACACGAGCATGCGCCTATGCAATGGGACTTGTGCACGATGTACGACTTCAAGTACGGCGGCTAGCTGACGAGCACCGCCGTATTGGCGACCAAGCACAACGCCGACTTCTGTGGCGGCGATGTGTCCAACAACCAGATGTGATTTTGAGCTTTGCCTCGATATATGTTTGAAGCCAAGGCGAGCGACAAGTGCAACGCGGTGACGAGGATCGAGATCCCCGGCGAAGACTTCAGTCGTTGCTACTGAGAGTTGAGGACCAGCCCCTGCGGGACCCGGTGCCGACGCCCTCAGGGTCATCATTGTTGCCTCGGCAATGCAATTGCGATGCGGCAGGATGCAATTCATTCTGGTGGATCTAGTCGTACAGTACAGTCAAGTCGTCGGCCAGTGCTAATTGAACCGACTGCAAGGGCTCGGCCGTCCAGCGGAGCTGAATGTCCTAAGCGCCATTGCTTGTAAGCGGCGGGTGAACCAGACCACCTCGCCACCAGAAATGCCTGGCATTGTCATATCCTAACATGCTTCCATATGTTGCAAAGCGCTTTTGTCAGTAACGAGGCACATTCATGGTCAGGACACACGGTGGAGGATCCGGTGGCAAACTTAAAGGATATGTGCGCTCTAATGCTTCATGCGAGGGCTGATCAAGTTGTCGCTGCCGTTGTGGTGAGGGCAAATGGACTTCGGTCTCGCTGGAGCGCAACAATGGTTTCGATCACGATGTCCACATTGTAGCCCATCATGATGAGAGAGGCAAAGCCACAGCATATATCGTACTGACGGTAGAAGTATGGCTTGGCGGTCTATTATTTACATGAAATGTCTACTCACTCCAACTGGACGTGGCCCTTGGCAAAGCGGTGCTGGGTCTTGTTGTTGATGGCGACGAGGATGAGCATGACAGGGACTTCGATGAGGACTCCCACGACCGTCGCGAGTGTGGCGGGAGATCCCGACCCGTAGATGCTGACCGCAATCGCGACGGCCATCTCGAAAAAGTTTGAGCACGCGATGAGCGACGACGGACCGGCGACGTCGTACGGGATGCGAAAGTAGATCGACACGGCGTACGTGATGCCCCAAATGAGCACGGTCTGGACGGTGAGCGGAATGGCGATGATGAGGATGTCGACCCAGTTCTTGGTGATCGTGGACGCCTGCGAGATGAAGATGAGGACCACCATGAGCAACAGAAACGCCATCGACAGCGTGTCGAGCAGCGGAATGACCTTGGTCTTGAGCCATTCGAGGCCGCGCTCGTTCAAGCTCTGGCGTGTCACCACGGCCACGACGAGCGGCACCAAGATGAACAGACCCACAGAGTACAGCAACGTGTCCCACGGCATCTCAATGTTCGACGCACTCGCGAGCAGCTTGACCGTCGGCACGTACAAGATGATCAAGAGGATGTCGTTGACGGCGACCTGCGCCAGCGTGTACGCAGCATTGCCGTTCATGAGCACCGACCAGACAAACACCATGGCCGTGCACGGCGCGCCGCCCAGCAAGACCGCGCCGATGACATATCCGTCCGACTTGTCTTGGCCCAAATACGAATCGAAGAAGACCTTGAAGAACAGCAGCGAGATCGCGTACATGGTGAAGGGCTGGATGGCGTAGTTGATGACTGAGCAGAGGAGAATGGGCTTGGGCGCCTTGACGACGGCGACGATGCTGTGAAAGTCGATCTGGAGCATCATTGGCAGGATCATCCCCCACAGGAACACGGCGATGGGGATCGAGATGCCGTGCACGGTCGCGTCTTCGAGCGCAGTGGGTACGGACGGCACGTAGTAACCGATCAGGATGCCGGCGACCATGGCCAAGAGCACCCACACCGACAAGTAGCGTTGGAAGAGGTTCAACTTTTCCAGCTCCACGGCGGGATGCGGTCCGTCGTGAGCTGGCTTGGCGTCTGAGGCTTCATTGTAGTCGGCCGTAGGCGTCAGCGGGACAGCGGGGCCAGCGGCAGCAGCAGTGGTCGACGGTGCAGTGGTCGACATCGTAAGTTGAGCAATGCAGCAGCAGGTCCAGGTGGTGGCCCGAACTCTTCAACTTCCAACGACGTTTCGAAAGAGCAATCAGGCGTTAATTCGATGACTTGTTGCCATCCTTCGAGATAAAGCTCGAATGGAGGGAAAAGCTTTATTAGACGCGTTCGCGTTTGCAATACACGGATGAAGCGGACTTGTGAACATCGCACTTTGATTGTTACAGGAGTAAAGAATGGCCACATTGATTCGTGATGGCCTAACAACGATGCGATGTAGAGATGAGGCGCAATTTACTGCGCTAACGATGCTTGGTAAGGCAACACGTCGAAAGAAGTGCAGAATCCTCGTGGTGGCATTTATTTGTTCCAAGTCGAATGTGGCACTAAAGCGATGGAGATCGTTGCAAACAACAGTTCCAGCTGGGATGGTCGAGCACCCAAATTGCCATCATCGCTTCGGAATCGACCAATCAAGCGACAGAAGAACCATCAATTTAGTGCCCAGTGCCGCTCGTACCACGAATTATGGGCACTGATTCGATGGAAAAGTGAACCCATCTAATGAACGCCACTTTCGATGGCTCCATCTCGTGCATCCAACCCAAACCACATGAACCCAGGAAAAGACTCGAGCTTTTGTGGCGCTGGCATGGCACTGGCCCCTTGCCCACACCAACCCCACGACTCGAGGCACAGATTGCAAAATGCCGACTGCAACCGTTTACCTCAACTTTGGCTGCGGGACCTGCCGCAAAGCCCACGACCTCTTGACGGCGTACATGGCTGACCCGACGAACCCTAAGCTCGACCTCACCATCGTGGAATATGTCAAGACCAAACTCGATGTTGCAACGATCAAGTCGCTCCTGTCGCTCTTGTTCCCTGAAGACCCGTCGCCGAGCCCGCTCCTCATGATGCGCACGACTTCGGAGGAGTTCCGCACTTTGAAGCTCGATGCATTGGACCCGGTCGCAGACCGCGAAGCACTGATCGAAGCCATGTCTGTGGAGCCCCTACTGATTGCGCGACCCATCTTCGTCAAGGATGGTCGAGCGATTATTGCCCGTCCTCATGATCGTCTCTACGAGCTGCTGAAGGCAGACTACACTCGTGACGAACCTCATCCTGTTGATGACTATTGTTAATGGACCCTCTCGGGCGTGTCGACTTCGTTGTGTTTGGCGCTATATTGCATGATTGCAATGCATGCTCCTTGCCGAGGTGGTCTCGGGTCCCTTTGGCGGTTCGACTGGATATGTCAGCTGACCTCGGCTCTTGGCACGCGTTGGAGCGTCG